ATAGCAACAAATAAAGAATACACCAAGAATTCTCGCTTATTTCTTCGTAAATAAATTTTATATTTAAATCCGATGCGAAATCACTCCCGTAAAAGACAACGGCTAACGCATTACACGTATTAAACAGAAAAAAATGAAGCAGAATGGCCACAATTCGGACCGTCAGACAGTTCTTATCGATTCCGCTGCTACAAGAAATTCTATACACGTTCCGAATCATTGAACGAATTTTGACTCTATCGAGATGAAATCTGTAGCACGTAACTATGGAAATTAGTTGGGTCGAAACGAAAAATACTCTCAAGCAAATATCAATGAAATCCTCTCTATCGACAATACTCTTGATTACTCTAAAGATAGAAATGCATACCAATAACTTGGCCAAGATTAACAAGACGATGCCGTGAAGACGAAATCCTTTACCGTCTAATTTCAGATCGAAAATAGACATAACGAATAATAATAAATTCCATTTTTTCAAGTGTTTAATTTCCATACTTTGTTTTGTATTTGAATCCATTTGCACGTATGAATATTTGTGATTTTTAGTCGAAAACTGACACTAACGTCCGTGGAGAAATGAGGGATCGCGTATTTTATTGTAGTACGGAAACCGAAATTTCCACTCGCTTTAGGAAAAATTTGAAAAAGTGAATTTCTTTTCTGAAAATTTTTTATTATTTTCTTTGTTTACTTCCAGTAATACACCGGCATTCGGGAACACGAATAGACATCATAGTGTTTGTATTACTTTGCCAGTACATTGTTATGAAAAGCCAGAACAATAACAGACGTGTTTATATTTCGAAATAACCTGTTAAACCAATTTCTTTATTATCAACGTCAAACACGCTGAAGTACAACCTGTGGCCAAGCTGTGTTCGTCCCCTAAACACTGGGAGTTCGGTCCTGGGTTCGCGCATCGCTCGGATGGGCTATCCACGTGGTTTCCGGATTTTCTCTACGTTTGTAATGCCTAAAATAGGGCCAGTTTCCCTTAAAAAGACTTTCCGGAAGGCATCCCCAAGGGTTGCGTTGCCGTTGCCATAATTAAACAAACAAATATGCTGAACGTATATGAAAGACAGATTAAAATTTGAAAATATAATGCGTTTGTTTATCCGAAAATAACAAATAAAAATGTAAAATACGAACAGAAGATTGATTGTTTCTATTATCATTCAGAATATACAGCACTTTACAGAATCCATGTAAAATCGTCTCACTCAACGAAAACAAGTATAAATGAGTTTATGCAAAAGATACTCGTTAAAATCTTTTTCAACGTACAGAAGATGCCGAATATAGTGTCATTAAAATTTTTGCAGCTTTTCATAATTACTTTTAGATTGATCTTATATAAAAAGCAATATTCATCTTCTATTCACCGTATATATTTTATAATTTTTCATTTCGGAACAATTTAACCTATTATCGATTTAATTTTTGTCTTAAAAAGTTTTCCACCCTCAAATTTTAAGAACTTATACAAATTATTTTTATACATTAAGTGTAAACACATCGCATCGTCACTTTCTCATTTATTAATATTTGCGATAGAAATGTAAACAGTGTTACTATTGTTCAGTTAATTGCTTTCTGTTGTTGATTTTCCCCAGGTATAACAGGTAAAACATAATTACTCCTTCGAATGGCATTTACATTTCATCAATTTTACAAAAAATTTATGAAGTTTTCACTTTGGTCGTAAGTCGCGAGAGTTCGTAACTTTACTTCGCGAGAGAATTTCGAAGCTCGATTCCGAAAAGTAATAATAATAAGAACATTCATTATACTTTTATATATCCGGACAATATAATTGAATTCTCAAATGAAACTACACGCGGAGGTTCGACACATCAAAACGTGGAATCCATTATTAATCACAATGTCTCTGGTCGGTTTAAAAATAGAAGGTAAAGGTTTCCATTTTCGAGCCATAGCGATTTTAGTCCTGGAGATAACGTTGGTGTCAGTTTCCACTTTCAGAGTAATCAAGAACGTCACGGATAAAGAGATTTCATTAAGATTTGCCCGAAGGGATTTTTTACTTTTACTCAAATAATCTCCACGATCACGTGCTATCGATTTCATCTGGACCGAGCGAAAATTCGTTGGCTGATTCGCAACGTTCACAGAATTTCCGGCGGCAGCGGAGTGGATAAGAAACGTCTGACGGTCCGAGTGGTGGCGATTTTGCTTAATTTTCTTCTAATTAATATAAGTAATATGTCCGCCGTGGTAATTTTTGGAAGCGACTTCGCGTCGGAGATGAATATTAAATTCATTTATAAAGAAATAAGCGAAAATTCGTGGTGCATTCTTTATTCGTTTCTCACCTTTTTGTATTCGGTGGTAATTATAACCACACAAAATTTGAATTTTCTCTTCTTCGAAACCATTTGCCAGGAATTGGCACACGCCTTTCGAATGCTCCGTCGAAAGACGACGGAACGAAAGGAAAACGCTAAGAGCGTCTCTCGGATTATTACGGAAACCCAGGAGCTAATTGAATACTTGAACGAGATTCGTAACGCCTATTCTCTGCAGTTATTCTTGTGGACCGTTTCGGTGGGAGGAAACATAATGGTCAACTTCGGACTGGTTTTGAATTTTCGTTACTACGATACCTGGATACACTACACGAAAGTGTTCCTTATTTCCTGTTATCCGTTTATTCAGTTCGCCCAGATATGTTTTACCACTTCGTGTATTGTACGCCGACAAAATACAAGAATACTCTTTTCGCTTCTTCGTGAAAACTTGGCATGAATTTCCTAATTTTTCTGCTCGGGGAATGTTTGCCGTGAATAAAAGTCTAATTTTGACCATCGCCAGTGTATTGCTGACTTACATTGTTATCGTCTATCAATTCGGATAAATAAATATTCCCGACGAACTGTACTCTCGATTAGAAATTAAAATGAACATTCTCATTTTACTTCTAAATGGCTTCGTGGGTTTTAACTTATGTTGAAAACGTAATTTAATTTAATGGTTTATGCTGGAAAATTTCTCATCGAAAATGTAAAGATTTCCATAAATCTTTGAGGTTGATTTAAAATATAAATTATTTCTCTCGTATCAGTGTATTGACTCAATATTAAAAGAGCAAGAACTCGCGGCAATCAATTATTTTACTCATTTATAGTACAACGAATAGGCTCGTTTACAATTTAGCATTGTTGACAAATTCCTATATTCACGAATTTGTCAATAACGTTAATGGATTATCTGGTCACCGACTGGGAGCGGAAAAGTAATGGAAATGACTGCAGGGTGCTTCGAACCTTTGGGATCCGCTACAATGTAAAAACAGTAAAAGGCATTTTATTTTTCAGTCGTTTAATCATTTAGTTATTTAGATTTTTCCCATTAGTCGTTAGTGAACATGCCAACGCGCTTTATTTCCGAGTGCAATTTCGGATATCCTAGTGAAAAAGACAATAAGAGGAACTTTCTAAGGGTGTTAGAAAATCTTTTGGAACGCTGGAGAAGATTCATTTTACGCGAAGATAAGAAATTAACCACAAAAAGCTCGTATACGTGACAAGTATTTTAAGGATCAATTCTTAATAAAATCATTCGCTCACGCAATCGACGGCCAATCGGTGCAACTCGCGAGCGATAGATGGGCACCGACTCCGAAAGATTTTCCATCCAAATTCCCTAATCGTTCTTCCTATCTACGCATTAAAGCGCTCCGATTCCCATCGGAAAGAAAAGCTGCAGTTGTCTCCGAGCAGAAACGAGTCGATCTCTCTGATAAGGGGTATAGAACATGTCTTTTACAGTTACGAATGCACGCGTTATGTTATTTATATTTGAATTCCGAATTTTTTCTTTTTAAGGTACTAGATCCACTTTTCCTAAATACCTAAATAAAGTATTGAATTTGGACTACTACTGACCAGCGCTAACTGACTACCTATTGTTGAAAAGGCCCTCTGGCGGCGCAAGAAGACGGATTTTATAAAATAAAAAGCAGTCGAAACTGCATTTTTATGAATAAAAATTTGACAAACTGTTTATCGTTTTACGACGAGTAAGATTTTTTCGTCGCGTTCACGGCTTTTAAGTAATGCATAAACCCAGGGTGGCCAAGCTCCTTGATAGTCCGAGCCATTTTTCAAAATTTGAAATTTTTCGCGAGCCGCAATTAAATACGTATTAAAAAGGTATGCAAAAAATTCCAGATTACAAATTATATCCGTAGCAAGAGTGATACAAATTGTTTCTTCCAGCGCACAATGTCAGCTGTCCATTGCAATAACAGTTTACAAATTCAAAATCGGTCTGGAGTCGGTCGATAACGGACGATTACGCCATTGTTTATGTTCGTTCGCACAGTTTTCGATGAGTCATATCATTCTTAACTTGGACGGAAATGAAATTTGTTACAACGTTGCACTTAATCTTTCATATTTGTTGTTAGTAATTTAAAAGACATTTGTTTCAAAATGTCTTTTAAATTTTATACGGAAATAAAATACGGAACGATAATAATTTTTTAAAATATAATAACACAAGAATGAAAAGGGAACTCGGGTACATTTATCGAGAGCCACAAATAATCCTTCAAAGAGCCGCATGTGGCTCGCGAGCCGCAGGTTGGCCACCCCTGGCATAAACCTTCGAGGCGCGAGGCCCTTCGGACCACGAGGCGTAGGCGGTGGTCCACCTCATCCATACCTTACGCCGCCCTTGGTCATAGAAATGATGTAATTTGAATATAAATTATTTATAAATACGTATGTCAAGTTATATTTTTATTACTACGTAAAATATATTTAAGAGTTTACGACCACTGTGATGGGTGAGACGTTGTTGAAACAAAAAAAGTTATGCATTCCATCACATACATAAACACTGTCGTAATTCGCCAAGTGCAAATCAGCAAATTCGTAAAATTTTTTTTTATTTTGAACAATCCGGATAATCGAAAATCCGGATAATAGAGGTCCGGATAATGGAGGTTATACTGTATGTGGAAAGAAGTGATCCACTACCCTGTACTTGTAATGACAGTGACAGAAGTACGACAATATATAAAAATTCACATTAACTTGGCGTAGATATAATAAGAAAAAGTCAGGCCATTGACTATTATCAATTTTAATGAATTTGTTGTTACTACACAACTGGTATCCTGCATTATATTTAACAGTATTGATTAAATGCAATAACTTTTAATTAATGAACACGTTTTAGAAAGGTAACGAATACAGCTAAAAAGGTAAAAAAGGTTAATTTCGGAGGTCGGGAACGGATTAAAATACCTGAAGTAATTTTTACTTTTCTATTTGACATTATAGGTTGTCAGATATATAGGTTGGTTTATATTTCTACAATTTCGGATTCGTATAAAAATGTAACGGGAAAATTTAGTCGTCTATTTATGGCTTTACACGTAAACCGAGCGATATTTACATGTTACGCCACTAAATTTTATCACAAATTATAATAAATTCAGTATACATTACGCAGAAATCGGATACAACGCAAACATTTCTGACGAGCCGATCGCAGGCCGCCGATCGCAGGCCGCCGACCACCCATCCGGTGCGTATTAATTAAACCCGTTTAGAAAATACGTCCTTCTCAAACATTAATGAAAAGTTAAAAATACTGCGAAATACACAACCTCAAAGCACGTTTTAATACAGTAAAATAGATTTAAGGAAATTGTCATCGATTGTTTTTCCTAATAATACTGAACATGACGGTATCTTCTACGCCGACAGAACGTTTTCGTCGAAAATGCTTTATCCATAAATCTCTGGCACTTTTGTTGCAGACGATCTAAGAAATTATAATATTTCAATTCTAGAATATTTCTAGTTGTCGACGATTAAAGAGAACTTACTTGAAGCAGAAAGATGACGAATCCCTGAAGAGTGACGAAAATGGTGAACAGATATTTAAACACTAATTTCGCGCTGTTTATGGCGAAGAAACCGAACGTCCACGACAGTCCTACGTGATAATTATCATTTATTTCTACCGTAATTACGTTTAGCGTAACGACGAACGAGAATGCGTTTACCTAAAAGGGTTAAAATGCAAACTGCCGCCCTTAACCGTACCAGAACGAGTTTCTTGTCATCCGTCTTCAGCTTCGGCTTTTTCGCCCAGGCGACGGAATAAAAGACCAAACAAAATACCACCAAGTTGACCAGCATAACTGTTCCTACCGGCAAGAGGAATCCGTAATAGAATGCTCCTATTTGAAGCCAACAACTAGGAAAAACAAAATTTAATTAATTTCAATTCGAGTCTCTCCTGATAAATTACCACTTACTATTTTTTTCCTCCGTGGTACAATTTATAATCGATGGACATTATTACAGCCACAATGAGTAAAGGAGTTCCTAGGAGAAAACGTATAGCTGTAAGAGGGGCCAATATTTTAATTAAAAAAATAATTAGTCGGAGACTCACCCCAGGCAAAAACGGATGCTTTGAGCATAAATTTGGGGATGTAAGTATCCAGCACCTTGACTAGTTTCAGATATTGCTGCAAGGCCTCTATCAACATCCAACAGAACGAGGCCATCAACGAATAATGCAAGAGAGCGGCCGCAAATATACACCCCCTCTCGGACGAGATTTGATCGATTCCCGAAACGAAAACGATCAGACTTAACAATATGGCCGATGCCAAATTACACAGAACCTTGCTTACCACTCCTTTTCTCAGTTTTCTAAACATATTTTCGGAATTAGATTATAGTTTTCGGACTAACAACTGTAAATGATCACTGTAAATCGGTAAAATGTAATTTTATTGTTTTAATAACATTTTATCCGCTTGTCTTATAGCTGTTATCCGCGCACGCCCAGTTTTTTCCCCTGTGATGAGAATATTTAATTAATTTCCTCCCGTAAAAGTTACGTACCGCCATACTTTCCCCCTGTTATGTATAAAGCCGGTAAAGTAAAAGTTAACTTTACCGGTTGTTATACATAACTTTCATTAAACTTCAAATCACACGTTCGTTATTTTTCTAATCTCGTGCCATAATGTGCTAAGTAAACTTTTGCTTTCCTAGTAAATTTACAAATCTCATTGGCAAACTTTAACTTACTTGAACATCACGAAACTGCTTAGTGTTAATACGATCCCCATTATGGAAAGCGCGCACCCCACGTAGGTGAAAATATCCAAGACTATGGCGTGTATCTTTCGCTCCACGTAATCCGGATGTAAATTCTACACCGATTAAAATGCAAAGTTTTCAGTCGTCGTAATATTTGGAAATACATTTTAAAAATACAAATAAATCCATTACGTACCACCAAAACGGCGAAGTTAGTCATGTGATCGCAGTGACATACCACTCGACCGGCGGTTCGGTTTGTTATTTCGCAACCCAGATCGGACCAATCTCCCATTTTACGGTTGGCAGAATAATCCCAAAAAACGCACCTCGTACTGCGGGGTATTTCGCCGGGAACCTGCGAGCCGACGAAAACATTATAAGGGTTCGTCTTCCGCGTTATATGGATATATATTATATTATGCGGGATATTTACCGTAAACACTCGAAATGCGATTTCTATTCTTTTGGCAGGCAAACGAACGGGAGCTCCCGTCGGGCGGGCGTACAGAACGTTACTGACTACGGCTCGATCGGTGCGGTGGGTGAAGAACATGGCATCGTTCTGGTATACGACGTAATTAAAAGTGGCGTCAGACGAAGCTTTCTGTTTCGACACGTCCCGAGGGAGACGTATTCTTACTCTATACTCGTCATTTAATAATGCATCCCGGTGTAAACTCTTCACCCGGTTTGTATCTAGGGGTAGAAATATTCCGACTTCCACATTTTCTGAGGTTAGCGGGTGAGAAGCAATAATTATATTTTCATTACTTGTATTTATAAAAACGTTATTGGCCTCTAGCATACTCTCCAACGAAGCTGTAATTCTGGATATCGAGATTAATCTGTTGTCGACAACTTTTGTCTGTTACAGACAATTGTTTTGTCAAAGACCTTACCTGGAAGAAGCGTTGGTTTTCGTATTTGCCGAGGCCAAAACGGAAGAATCCGTCTTCATTAAATTGTCGATGGTCGAAGCGATTTCTTCGAACGATTCTTGTGGATTCTGGAACGATACACCTGTAATAAAATGTGGCCGAGACGAAGACAAAAAAATAACACAAGTTCTTACTTGGAAATTTGGTTCGGTGGAAACCTTCTCCAAGCAAGTAGCCACGTAGTGAATGTCGATTGCTCGAATTCGAGGCAACTCGTTTACTAAATTACTTAACTCTTTGGTAACGTTTACTTCATCGCTCTAAAATTTTAAGAAACTAAATAATATTTTAGTAAAGAAAATCGATAATAATTATCCAATTAAATACGTTTACCGTTAGGCTATATATTTATATTTATACCACACGGAGAAATAATTTTTATTTTTATTCCATTGTAATATTTTCTTTATTTTCAAAAAGACACTGTGGACAAGTATGCCTTTGTCAACAAAAACCAACAAATAAAACAAAGAGGTAAGAGGCTTAATCAACTGTAGCTTAATTGGAGTTTGCTCTAACTTCGTTTTCGTATATCCAATTTAAAGATGGATTTGTAAGTGTAAATTTTCAGTTTATCAAAATTATCACACGGGTCTCATCCCGGGTGCGGATGTACTATATTACTACACTCGAAAACAAAGATGCGAATAAGACGGAGTAACGTTTTATAGAATTCAACTTCATTTTGCCATAGAGAGAAAACACCAATGTAGCCTTTTGTCTCGCCTTCGGCATCTTTTTTTTATATTTCTTTTAATGTAAAATATTAAGAGAAATAATGCAAATATTATATACAAATATTAGGAGATTAAGAGAAGGATACGGGAAAACGCAAAATTCCTTTTTTTTCCGATTCTCACTCGATGGGGTCCCACCCCGCGGGAGAATGGGAGAAAAGGAATTCGTCTGGATGAATTGTCACGAAATTTCTCTCCAATTGAAAAAAATTACTTTTTTTATTTCCAGTAAAATTGGATATTTACAATTATTTATTGTATAAAAAATTCTTTAATTTATTGTATTTAAAAAGAAATAAGAATTGGCAGCGCTTACTTACCGTAGATAATTCTTTCAATCGTAGAGTGAGGTCGGAGAGTTCTCCCCGGCATTTTCCGTCCACGGGACCCCAATAAGCGCCGTAAGTGAAATTTCCCAAACACCCTCTGACCACGGGATCGCCTCTGTCTAATTATCAAAAAATAATAGCATTTAGTAGCGCTACAACGAGTACGAAAGCGTAAACGTAAGCTTTACCGGTCACGCAGTCTTCTAGGGGTAAAGCGATTTCACCGAAATTTTTTCTAGGCCAAGTCACGTTTCTGTCGTCCACCTCCGTTATCGTCGAAAAGCAACCGTCTGGAAAGGAAAATTTACGGTTCTTTATCAATTCCGAATTAAATCATTTGTTATTTGGAGGCTTTCGATATAAGATTACGTACGCGTAAAAGTCAAATGCCGTCAATTACTAAACGACCTACCTGTATTTTTAATTCGAATACTTTCCGGCGATATTTTCAATTCCGATAATAAACTGGAACTACGGGTCATTCCGTTCTGCAGTTCGTGTAATAACTTCTCTTTACTTTCGTCCACTTTTGTCTCTCTCTTCTTACTCGAAGAGCGTGTGTAGATGAAAAAGTTTACTTTTATTTTATCCCTGCAACCGAGGCCGAAATCAATGGTTACAACCGTTAGGCAATATAGGTAGCCTATATATAAATACACACTCACTTTGTCTCCGATAGTCGATGTACGTGTACGGCAGTCTGTCCGACGGAAGTTAAAGCTTTTTCGATCTTTTCGCCGATGTTCCGACATCGAATAAAATATTCCTCCGTGCTCGGATCTAATCGAAGAAAGTCCATAGAAGAATCGAACTCGCCGACGAACGTCCACACGTCTAAAGCGTATTTAATTAATCGTCTTTATTGACAATTGTATAAGAAAGAAACTTTCATCTTCTTACCTTTGAAGGTGAAAAGTATCCGGGGCGAAGCGACGGAGACGAAAGGTCGCTTCTGATCCACCAGGCACCAATAATAGCCCTGGAGTCGACCCCGGTCTAAGCTCGTATTTGTAGAAAGTAAATTTCGTACGGTTAAATATTCTTCGCCGCCGGTCGTCAATCCTCTCGTTCCGTTGACGATAACGCCATCTTTATACCACGTGACACTTTTGTAATAACTTTTACTACAAAGGCATTTGAATACACCTTCTGAAACAACGATTATTTCGCAGGAAACTCTAGAATCTACAAAAGTTACGCTGTTAAATTTAAATAATTGGGCGACGCGATTTCTCTCGCGGTCGTACCTTCGACCGTCGATTCGCAGATGCCAAAGTAATCTTTTTCTGGATCGTCCAGAGACCAGAAAATGCGGTATCTTACGATCTTCACTAATCCGGCCGTGTAATTCGGTCCGAAATTTGTATCCGCGGCCCAATCCACGTACCGAACGGTTTCGCCTTCGTCCTCCCAAATAAATCCGTCCTTCGATCTTCGAAGTCCGATCCAGCAGCCGAAATCTTGGAGAAAGCGCGCGTCGTTACCAAAAATCTGGAGGCGTTAATTACCGGATGTGGCTACTTACTTGTACCGTAATGTTCCACTATTAAAATTTTAACCAAGGTATAGACTTCGGGGAGCTCGAGGGTGGCCAATCTTCCTCCTAGTTTTTTGCAATACTCTCGCCATCGCCTCCAATTCATTTTTATTTCCATCAGCCGGTAACACTTCCCCAGCCAAGGCAAACTTTTCCAACCCTCCGGACAATTAGAAGCTACGGCACATTGTTAAATTACGTCGGGCTACTTTTCCGCCATTATATTTAAATATAATTATTTGGCTCTACTTACGTAACTGTTCTTCATCGACCTTTTTATGCATGCACCAGAAAGGCCGTTTCTCCCGGCACCGCCGGCTGTACAGAAGAATTTCTTGCCGGCCAATTATTCCGCTCAGACAGTCGTTGCCCGGCGCGGGTTGTCCTTTCTCCCAACGAAATTTCGTGGCGCCGCTTCTGTTAAGGCGTGGGAAAATTAGAAATGACCAATATAATTAAAGCGATAATTGGCAAATCTTACGCGTTTATGGTTTCGGGATAAAACGCCATCCACTGAAACTGGCCGGCATTTCGGCGTCCTCCCAGCCACACTTCCTCTCGCCTTTCTGAGAAAATGACACCAGTTTAGTTTTTCCCACGAAACTTTACAATTTTTGTGTGGACGAATTCCCGCAATTTATATTCACCCGATTCGAAAAAGAAGTCGAAATCCTCCACCCGATTACTAGCGTCGATGCGGGAAGAAAATAAGTATCCGCCGTTTTTGCCGCATTCTTCGACCGCATCCGACCAGTTTAATTCCTCTCGGTATTGTTGCAGACACAGGTTGAATTTCCAGACGTCGTATCCCGGCGCGCATCGGCGAAAGGGCGATTTGGCTAAAAATAAATCACGGTCAGATCATTGGGTGGGAACCCAACACGTCCCGGTTTAACGCTTCTACCTGAAAACTGGTTAGACCGAAGGCATTTGGAGTAGTCGAAGTCCTCCCATTTCGATTCTTTGACATATTTTCCTCGGCACTTCCTGGTCACCAGTTCCCACTTTTCTAAATAGAAAGAAATGTGGTGAAACTCCACAGGAAAATTTAACGGAAAACTATTGAATCTTACCGGTTAAACAGGGAGGAGAAGATGCCGCCGATTGAGAATAATAAGTGTCGTACCAGATGAAATTCGTATTATTGAATCGACGTTCTTCTCTCAAGCATCGACCTGAAAGGAAAAATTAACGCGTATCTGCGTACACTAATTCCTGCCGACAAATAAGTCGATTCTTACCCGAAAATGTTAGTTTGAAACTGTCGACGTTCCACTTTCGGAAATATCTAGTGCCGGAATTATTTATGAATTTTTGCAACGAAAGCAGAATTTCTTCTTCATCGTATATTATTCCTTCGTCGTTTGAATACGGGAAAAGGAGCACGATGTCCACCACGATTTTATCGTCCTTCTTGCTATAAACGAGTGAAGAGAAATAGTTAACTCGAACCGGAAGAAAGTTTACTTGTCAGAAACTTACGCTACGTCTGTCAGTTTCCAGCCGATTTTATCACTATCATATCTAATCTTATAGGCTTCAATCATGGATGTTACGTTTTTATTCGAATCCAGTTCTTTATATATCATTCTTATTTCGTCTTGTACGCTTTCGTTGGAATAGATGCTTGGAATCGTCAAGGTTAAAAGGTAGGTGAAGAGTTCTAAACACGAAAATTATGTAAAAAAGTAAGATAAACTACGACATAATTTGTGTTAAAAAAAGAAAATAAAACGAATGAAGAAATTTTAATTTAAATGGAAAACTTATTATTTCCAAGGAACTTTTTCGAAACAATTGAAATAAGTCTACAGTAAGGTGAAATTTCTCCCAGAATAACCAAAAGGGCTATTTTCCAAGCTGTCGCTTCGCCGTAACCGATAGACTGCAGAATTTCCGATAAACAGTGGCTCCTATTGTGGCGAGATTCGGCCACCCCTGGTACGTACAGTACCGTATTATCGATTCTTCTATCGTATCTTACTAACAGAACTGGATTATAACATACATCATACTTATATAACGAAAGGACTTGAATATTTATTTTTCTTCGAACTGTTGCAAAATTTTAAGCTCGACGATCGTTATATTCCAAAAAAATGCTGGTAACGAGCATTTAATAACTCCACGTCATTCTTTTTACTGTCTGATATACAAATACGATAGAATCAGCGTGTTATAATCGAGGATACGGTCACCGATTGGCCGACGATATCGCTATTAGCGGGCCCCAAATCCATGTTATAAAATTTTGCTTATTGCCATCCAAGTTTCGCCGTCTTCGGCTAATTATGACTATTTTAAGCTTTCTTTTCGCGTTGTCGACTTTAGGTGTAAAATAATAAAGACATGACATAATACAGAAAATAATTGTCGAGTAGAAAAGATAAACAGACAATTCTCCCGGTTTCTTTCTCGGAAATTATAAGTAGTATTGGTTTGGGATGCTTTGATCACAAAATTAAAATTACAAAAAAATTTTTAAAATTAAATTAAGATTGCAAATAAAAATTTATTGAATGGAATTATTTCAGATCACAAAATTAATTTTTCGATCACAAATCTTTATTAAATTAATTTTATTTTAACAACAAGTTAAAATTTATTTTAACAACAAGTTAAAAATCATTTGATAATTAATATCAAATGTTTTTAAAAGTTAATTATATTTTCTAATTTACTTTATGAACTAATTTTTATTTTGATTATGAATTATTTGTTAGAAGAAATACGATTGGTCGGTTTTTTGATATAAATATAGTTTTAAGGAACATTAAAATTTATTTTTAATACCGAGATTGAAAGTTGCAATCATGGAGACATATGGTTTTATTATTACTTACGACGGCGATAGAAATTATTCTGTTTCTCCTCGTTTGTACAAGTCTTTGGATACATGTATTGCTGCAGTAAATAATTTTTCTTTCGATATTCCTGATAATTTCCCTATTGTTTTACGTTATTTTAAAGTTAACAATGAAATATGGAAAGGAGATGGAAAATTTGGTTTTATAATTGTTGACGAGGATGGGAGAATTAATGAAGTTAGTAATAAATTATACTATTCGTTCGAGGAATGTTCAGAAGTTATGAATGAACTTTATATAGAAAAGAACAAAAAGAATATATTAATATTTAGAGAGATAACTTGCGGAACAAAGCATTATAAATTTACTAAAGCTTATAAGTTTGATTAGTACGAGTATGTATTTCAAACATCCTAGTAACTGTATAATTGTTGGACCTTCACAATGTGGAAAGACTACACTAGTGAGAAAAATTATTCATAACAAAATTTATGAAAAGACATTAAAAAAGGTTCTATGGTGTTATTCCATATATTTACCATTTTTTCATGAGGAAAGAGATATTACATTCATGTATGGTTTACCTGAATCCGTGCAAGGATGGGATTTAATAATAATTGATGATTTGATGCATGAACTCAGTTCAAAAACTGCATCTTTGTTTACAACAGAGTCTCATCATTATAATGTAAGCGTGATAATTATAATGCAAAATTTGTTTTCAAAAAATAGAATTATGAGAGATATAACTTTAAACACGCATTATTTGATATTATTTAAAAATAATCGCGATGAAAGTCAAGTAAGTTGTTTGGGGCGACAAGCTTTTGCTGGTAAATGCGATTTTTTTATAAATGCATATAAAAAAGCAACAGAAAAGGAATTTGGTTATTTGTTGTTAGATTTTCATCCTAAAACGAATAAGAAATTTTCTGTGAGAGATTCGTGTTTTCCCGACGAACAAGGTATTTTTTGGATATATTTACCAATAAAATGAAGAACGTAAAGAAAAATTATCACATGTTAGCACTTTTGTTCTAAACTACTGCTTCTCAACGAAAAGCAATATTGAAAGAAGCTACTCCCGATCAAATTAAAGTTTTGTGCGAAATATGTGATAATTTGCAGAGAGGAAATATACCTGCCGATGTTCGTAAATTACCAAAATATAAAAAAATTATCAGGAAATTAAGTGAAAAAATGTTCCTTTAAAGTACTAAGAAAACAATTTTAGTTAATCAATCGGGTGGATTCCTTCTTCTTCTACTGGCTCCGTTATTGTCGATGGCAGGCGGACTAATTGGTAAGGTAATAGGAAAAAGAATCGAATGGCGAAGCAAATGGCTCTTGCCTCTTCCAAATTGTCAGCATATCAAAAACCTGAAATAAGAATTAGTAATAATATCGAAGAATTACTTGAGAGTGGTGATTTATGTGATGATAGTAAAGTCAAATTATTAAGTCAATTAATTTCAAGATATCAGAGAACAGTTCATGCACCAAAAGAACCTGTTAGAGTATCTGTTGTATCTGACGAAATCGAAGAAACGGAATCTCAACCCGAAGAAAAAGCTGTTGATGATGATGCATTTATTAAACAAATAATTTTATGCCCACGGTTATATCAAAAATATACACCACATTTAATTGATAAGTTAAATCGAAATCATTACGGATGGAATTCTAAAGGCGAATTAATTAACAGTCGATGGGAAACCTATTTTTGAAAGTCATATAGTAGACTTAATTTCGTACGTAATGAGAAATAGTAAAACCGCATTAGTTTCTGTTGGTTTTAACGAATTTTTGAACGGTTTAAAGAAAATAAACATTCCTAAAGAGTGGATTGGACACAAAAGTTTGGCAACATTACCCGAAAAAACACAGTATCAACCGGCATTGGTCGAGACTCCCAAAGAAATTTTTTCTCCGAGACTATTTCACCAGTGGAAAAAATCTAAGAGGAAGAGAAAGAAAAATTCCGAATGGAAAAACTTTTGAAATCGATATACTATAATCCTAAATCTCCGGCATCTTTTGGTGGTGTGAGTAAATTAGTTAAAGAATCAAATTTGCCGCGATCTGTTGTTAAAAAATGGCTATCTTCTCAACTGACTTATACTCTTCATAAACCTGTAAGAATTAAATATTCGCGAAGAAAAACTAAAAGTTTTTATCCTAATAACTTATGGCAAGCCGATTTAATTGTATTAAAACAATTTTCTAGGTTTAATAATGGAGTAAAATACTTACTAACCGTAATCCATGTATTTACTAAGTATTGCTATGTGGAATCAATAAAAGATAAAAAGCCTCAGTCAGTTTTTAAAGCTTTTGAAATCATTTAAAAAAAAAACATTCCAAAACTTTACAAACTGATAAAGGAAAAGAGTTTTATAATAGATTGGTAAAAAATCTTTTTAAAAAATCTAAAATTAATCATTATTCAACCTATTCTGATACAAAAGCAGCTGTCGTCGAAAGACTAAATAATACTCTGCGGAAAAAATATATAGATTATTTACTTATCGCAATTCTTATAAATATATAGATAAATTATCTGATATTGTAAAAAGCTACAATAATAGTTTTCATAGAAGTATCGGTATGTCTCCATCGGAAATTACATCTTTGCATCACAGTGTGATTTTTGAAAAGCTCTATGGCAGGAGTGGCCAACTTTTGTGTACATAAGATCTACTTTTTATCTTAAAAATGTGTCGCGATCGACTTCTTGTCGTAGGTATAGTCTAAGTGGTGAGGGGGTGTGAAATACATACTATGTTTAGATAGGTAAGAAAAGCCACGATTTAATTTAAAACGTGAAGGAAAGGTACTTACATTTTAAACAGAAAAAAAATTGAAACTCAACGTTGTGAGTTTCGGCGACCACCACTTCACCCTTTCTCTTTCAACCGTGTCCAACCACTCTCTCTGTCTCTCTTCCCACCTTTCTTTTTTTCAGTAATAAGAAATGTAAACAGAGGATCGTAAAGATCCTCTGTTTACATTTCTTATTCTCCTTTTACAACCGTACGCAAATGGATTGCACATGGACCGGCAAAACCGCATCTGAGGGAGAACGCGGTGGTCCAATATCACTACAGTTGCGTTTGCGCGTTACGTTCGGTTACAAGTGTAACAAATGAATTCAAGACATCGCAACGATCGACCAAAAGTGGCTACGCGATCGACTTGTTGGCCACCCCTGCTCTATGGTATAAAAAGAGAAAATACATTTAAATTTAATATTGGTGATCTCGTACGAATTTCGAAAATACGTAAAACATTTAGTCGAGGATATCTACCGGATTGGACAAAAGAAATATTTATTATTCATGATCGGTTTTTATCTCATCCTCCAATGTACATATTGAAAGATTTAAATAACGAGATTTTGGAAGGAAGATTTTATACAGAAGAATTATAGAAGGTAACAGAATGATGCAGTTGGACTTTTTATTTGTGGGCAAAAAGTAACGATAGTGAAGATTAAGATAATTACATTATAGCCAATCTTACCCGTTTTCATAAAATGCAAAAATTAGGTCCTCCGTTTCCAGACTAATTAGAAATCTTGTCCCGATTCTATTTCTGAACGTCTCCTGTTCACGTCCAGTCAAACAAACTCTTTTCAACATTTCTGGAACGTTTACAATCGTTCTATAATCGAACCAATATTCGAATTTTATGTTCAAATTAAATTCGAAAAACTTCGAACATAACATTCGAAATAGAAAACCACTTTCAACCACTTTCAGCCCCATATCTCCCGCACCCTTATAGCTATCGAGACGCAACCCCCATAGTGCACGAATGGAGACTTGGGGCTACCACCCAAAAGTGAAATATAGGGACACACACGTCCATTTATATATATATATATAGACATCTATACTAATATTATAAAGAGGTAATGTTTGTATGTATGTTAGTTTGTATGCAGCAGGTAATCTCCGAAACTACTCATCCGATTTCAAAAATTTTTTTACCAATATTTAGAATGAAACTTCAAGGTGGACAGAGGCTGTATATTATTCCGTTAAACATGGGGGATGGACAGTTCTTTACGGTAAGCCTTACAGGGAAGGCTTACCGTAAAGAACTCTGCTTCTATTTATACTATTTTAGATGCGGGTTTTTGCGTTTTTGATTGCATTTTAATAGGGTACGTCAAGAAAATGTACACTAAGAAAAAATTTTTCAAAAAATTTTCACCCACGGGGGAAGTGTTATACATTTATAATAGATACATTTTGAGCCACAACAAGGCGTGGCGGGGTCTGCTAGTAGATATATATAGATGAACGTGTGTGTCCCTATATTTCACTTTTTCGCCAAAACTACACATCGCACATGAATGCTGTTTGTATGTGGTGGTAGCCCCAAGTCTCCATTCGTGCACTATGGGGGTTGCGTCTCCCACCCCCATTCGAACAATGTTCGAATTTGAATTCGAACATAAAATTCGAATATTGGTTCGATTATAGAACGATTGTAAACGTTCCAGAAACGTTGAAAAGAGTTCATTTGACTAGACGTGAACAGGAAGCGTTCAGAAATAGAATATTTTATAATAATTAGAAAGATATACTGTATTAAACTTTCTTTATTGTTAAAATAAAATTAATTTAATTCAAATTTGTAATTAGAAAATTAATTTTGTGATCAAAGCTTCCCAAACCACTACTACTATTATATATGTTACTGTAAAAGCCCGTATATTGGTAAATCCTAGGTTTTACTTGGAAATCTTCGGATTTACCAACATGAGTTGGTAAATGTAAGGATTTTTATAAAGTGAGATGATTTTCCGGGCTTTTACCATTAGAATTTGGTACATGCTAGGTTTTACTAAAGACGATTAGTAAATGTTGGTTTTGGAAATAAAACTATGAGTATTTTAATAATCATTTATTGAATTATTATGACAGTCAACTTATTAAGTCCTATTTATTAATAACTAGTGAAACAATTTAAAAATACTTTTTTAACATAACGAAAAATTAAATTATCTTGTCAAAAATAATATAATAGCTTACGTTGGCTAAGCTAATCAGTAATCACAGTATTTTTTCTAATCATTTGGTATTCATTGTCATTTAATAAAAATAAAAAAAAAAGGATTTTACTTGTTACAACATGGAGAGCTATCATGGCATTTAGAATTACAAAGTAATCCTGATGACTCGCAAGCGCACTTCTTCCTTAGGCATTTTTTTAAAGCAGTTGCACTTCTTGAAACCTTGTCCTCCGGTCAAAGACAATTTTGCGACAACTTCTCGAAGACTCACTTCTTTACCTATAACAACTTCTATCTTGATAAAGTCTTCAGGGCATGAAGTAAATTGACTTTGTGTATAAAGCTGCTTTAGTACTCCAATTTTGGTACCTAGTTGGTAAAACTCGTTGTCCTTTACATCTACTACAACTGCAATAACGCTTTTTCGGGTAGGTTTCAGCTTTGTCAATTTCAGGCACTTTTCTTACATTTTGGCCAATTTTCACATTTGGATATTTATCAACAGACGTGGCTTTCATTTTTTCAGCTTGTTTTTCCAAATTCAAGTTTGCGTTGTTTGTTATAGTCACTACAGATTCTATCTTTTTTGGTATTGGCTCTATAGTTACAAGAACTTCCTGAGACTCAATCGTGTTTTCTGTCTCTGAATCGTTACATTGGAATCATTGGTTATTTGCTTCGCCTTCATCATCTCAGTAATAATCATTTCATCTTGTGTTTTATCGTTGACAGTGCTATTGTCTATATCCCCTTCTGACTCAATTTCAACAATGCTTTCTTCCTTGTCCTGTTCGATTGCATTTTTGACGTCATTATTTTGTTCCGTATTGTCATGCAAATGCAACAACTTCTCTAAATCTTCTTCAGATCTTATAACTCTAATCATATCACTAGGGATTGCTGAAGTTGCAAGGCCAATTTTGTAAGATGGCCGACTCGGGGAAAGTAGGGGACTCGAAACCCACTTCACGGCACCTGTGTAAGGTTGCCGTCTCCTAGGTGGGATCTATTCACCCCACGTCAGGATGAAAATAAGGGAAGGTTGTATGTGGGCTGTGACAGAGGAGGCAAATGATGACAAATGTCTTACACAAGAAAGCCGTTTATTTGTTAACATTTATGCTTACATCGACAATCGGCAGTCCTTCACTAGTTCTCGTCGGCGATGTAGAGAGACGAGGAGATCTATGCCTGGTTGGCCCCGGGGCGGACGAGATGATCTCGCTGATCACGGCGGACGAGATGAAGTCGGAAGCGGCGGAGTCCAAAGTTCGTGCCGACGACACACCACAATCTCAGTCGCGACGTTTCGGGGAGTCGGAGGAGAGCCCTCTTGACCTTGATTTTCCGATTTTTATAGTCTTTTCTCCCACTATTCGGACTTTTGATTGGCCCCTCGTCCCCTTCCTCGCTTCCCGATTAGTCTCTTTTGTTTTGGAGAAAAACCGAGACCGACTTGGGTCACGGGAAAGGTCCGATTCCAGGTGTCTACTTGACGCCTTTCTGTCGATTGTCCTTGGGGATTGTTGACAAAATTACAAGATTCGCGCTCATAATTTAGCTCCGTTACTCGCGATTTCTGTCATCTGGGTACTCGAACGATCATATGCAACAATTTATCTCTCTTAAATCTTTCCCTCTTTTCAGAAATTGTTTCCCTAGATTGACTGTTTATGAGCGCGGGGGTCAAAGTTCTACCTGCATATGATCACTTGTCTCTGACTTATAACTTTTCACTCTGACATTGACAGTTCGTTTAACACGTGTTCGAGTCATCCGAGACTCGTTGTCTACATTTTGTGCCGCGCTGTTTAAATTATGGGATTTTTCTTTCCCTCTCATTTTTAATCTATCGTTATTATTTAAGCATAGGAATATCGCGATTTACATGATTCGGACTTCGGTTGGGTCCTCACAATTTTCATTGGACAACCAAACATTGCTGCGTAGGGAGAACATTTGATTCCCTCATGATATGCTCTATTTTTCATCGCCTGGATGAATCTTTAACCCTCTGACCACTTTGATAACTGATTGGTTTCCATCCACGTGCTCAACATATTTTCTATGTCTTGATTAGCACGCTCCACTGATCCTTGGCTTTGGCTATGTCTTGCCTTTCCATGTACGATTTTTACATCCGACCACATGGAGCATAAACTCTCAATATCTTGGTTAGAGAATTCTTGGCCATTATCGGAATGAAGGATGCTCGGCGCTCCAAAAGTGGTGAAAATATCCAAAAGACGGTATGCAACTTCTATGGTGCGTTTAGTTTGAAGCGCACGAAGGATCACAAATTTGGTAACATGGTTTTGGTAAAGTAAAATAAATTTATAATTTCCATCTGGGGTAGTTTGTAGATCTATTAGATCAACCTGACAGCGTGAGTTCATTTCACTATGAAGTATAAGTCTGACGACAATGCCCTTTTTCAAAGTCTTCTGTTTCTTTTGGCAAGGTTGACATAGCTTTATATATGTCATAGTAACCTCAACTGTTATATTTTTATACTTGCGGTTACATTCCTTAAGCATCCGTGTCCTTCACCCAACAGCAACATGCATTTCTTCCAGAATGTTGAATAAGTCCTCCTAACAAATGTAATACCTTATTTCTCCATCCTCCTCCTTCATAGGCAAATGTCATAACACTTTATATGCCTGTAATGAACAGCTTGTTTCTTTTTCATGTTCTTTGCAGCTTTTACTTCCTCCAAACACTTTGCGTATTTGTCCCTATTGAGATAAAAGTTATCATCTTTCTTGCTTGCAATGAGCTCGTCCATTATTTCATAAAATCTCCGTTTCACACTCATCTTGATTCATAAATAACTTTTAAACAGCGAAATCTCAAAAAAGATTAGAATTAACGTGCGCGTTCTAACGTGTCAAACGATGGAATGCGGCGAGCGAAGGCGACGACGGGGTGCGGTACAGGTTCGGGGACTATTTTTTTCAACATTTACCATGTCTCTGAGGTAAAACCTAAGATATACCGAGTAAATGCTGGTAAAAGTTTGAAATTAACGATGATCACAGAACATTTCGGACTTTTACCACAATGATTTGGTAAATCTTAGGTTTTACTGGAAAATCTTAGGATTTACCATAGTTCGAGCATTTACAGTAACATATATACCGTGTAGTACTTTCGTTTTCAGAAAAATATAGAAGAAATTTTACGTTTAACTTTATTTTGAATCGATAAATATTTAAGAAATTTATTAATTAAGCATAATTTACGACAAAGGAATAAAGTTTTCGACCGTAGAAATAATATACACAAGTGGCTAATCTACTTAGTCTATAATAGCGTTAATATAATTAAGGCCGACGGAAGCTTCCGTCGTATAGGAAACCACGCACTTACCCGAATCCGGAAAGTCCGTACTGTCGGAAAATACGATGTAAGGATAACCGGGTAATTTAAACGAATAATAATAACGAGTGACATTCAACGGAGTGACATCTACGCCATAATAAGGCCAGTAGGTAGTGTTTCGGTACAAAGCGGGATAATCGTTCTTCCACCAGACGACGTCCGTTAATTCCCGGTAATCGTACTTCTTTCCGTCGATCCTCACCTCCACGTCCATGGAGAAGATCAAATCGGAAGAAGCCTGTACATAATGGCCGGGTTTTATTGCGGCTTTTATCTCTGCTCGAAAGAAAACAATTATTCTTAGATTCACGTACTTTGTCAAATTTTCGGCCGATTTTCTTGGCTTGACTTACCGATTTTCTTGGCTTCCTTTTCGCAAAAATAACCATTCTTCCGGGAGCAGTTTTGCCCGATCGTGCCATTATTCGAAAAATTTTCCACGCAATCGTCGGGAGCTTCACCCCGTACTTCGAATTAAAGATTTTTTAAATGTATTATTAATATTAAACGTAGAATTGACAACATTTACCATCAAAATTCATCGCCAATATTTGTCTAATCGTCGACTGCCGAAATTTGCTTTTAAAAATTATCCGTAAGAACTTTTCACCGGGGAGAATGAATAAATCGCGCGGTCCCGGAGATTATTTATAATTTAAAGAATAATAAACGTCCACTAACCTCGGCTATCGTTCCGGTCACTTCGGTCGAATTCCCAGGCCGAGACGGGCCAATCCCGACTGTCCGGGCGGTAGAATCGACCTCGGCAATCGTGGTGCGAAGACCCGGAGACATCGACCTCTTTAAGGCAACTGCCGGAAAGGTAGGAATAGGTCCAGTCTGGATCGCAGAGTAAGGCTTTGGAAACGCCAACCGTCAGTGGTTAAGATAAACCGCGGATTAAAACGGAATTAAAGTAAAACTCTTACGAGTTTCCGTCTCGTTTTCCCACCGACAGATAAAAGCGGATCGATGACGACTGCAAGACACGTCGGCCAACTCCCGGGTCGAAAATCTGAACGACAGACAACCTCCCGCGAATTTCTCGTTTTCTTTGGCGTAAAATCCCGTTTGGCTGCAAGAATATTTGTTTTTCTGCTCGATTTCCATTACCGAGGAAAAATTAATTTGATAAACTTACTTGAAAACTTTAGGGCTTCCTTCCTGCGATAAATAATTCTTTATTCTCCACTTGATTCCCAGGTGAATCTCGTCCACTCGCTCGTCCTCTGCGGTGTAGAGAATAAAGATTGAAATATTCGTGGTCGAAGGTCCAATCTGCTTGGCGCCTTCACTTACCGGCGTACTTGCTGATGGCATCGAAACTCATTCCTTCCAGGTGTAACAGGTAACCGTTGTGGTTTCTGCACACGTTGTACGCTCGTTCCCACGTTTCCGCTCGGCGAAACGTGGCCAAACACCGCGCCTCCACTTTTTGGAAGTTGTTCGGACACGCCGCTTCCTGCGCATCGGCTAATTCCGTACGAAAGACACAAATTTATATCTTAACCACATTAACAAAGGTTTAATAAAGGCTAACAGAAAGCTTAACTATATTAAACAATGCATTGGTGTTGTCGGTTGCCAACGAATATATTTTAAAATTAATATGTACTCTCTAGGAATTTTTCTCTCCGGATACTTCGGATCCTCCTCGCAACGTCCGTAATAACCAGCTGCTAAAAAATGGTTCGGTAATTCGCACGCGGAGAGTTAAAAAAATGCAGTAACCGATGATAATATCGCAGCAAAGAAATGATTTTCCACGTAATATGGATGCAACCTAATGCCACCTGTAATTCCTTATAAATTCTCCTGTTGCGTGCGTGTGCGAAGCCATGCCGTTAGGCGTGGGCAGGCGTGCACCGTACCCTATGCTGCAACGAGTTTTTCCGTAGATATGGTAACTGTCGAACCCCTCTCATCCCACAAATTCTTAAAATGCGACAAAGAGAAAGGTTCGAATGGCCTGTAGCGAGATGAAGGTTGGTGCATACTTCCAGGAATGTCTCCGTCGCGTGGCCAAACTCGGTTGGTTGCCGTAGAGAGCACCACTCGTGGGTGCAGGATGTCCGTAGCTTCCATTCTGTTATAAGCGGAGGACCGTCACGCCAGTCGCGTGTCATTGCGCTTCGAAGACTTCCAAACAACGGGAACGCCGAAAGTTCCGAAGACCAAGATCCTCCGAAAGTCTTCTGGCGGCACTATACACGCGAGGAACCATAAATTTACTCGTTTACCTACCTATCCGTATGCCGAACTATACTGCTTTAAGCTAGTGTTCCATTCGTCCCGTTTTTCCCGAGACGGTCTCGGTTTTTTGATAAAACGTCCCGGTGTTCCGAATTCTTTTTAAATGTCCCGCTTTCTACGGGAAATAACAAAATACGTACAGACACGGCACGATATAAAAAGTTAGCGTAGTGTTACGGTATGAACATCGACTATAGATCGATCCGTCGGTAATTGCTGCAATTTTTATCTTCGAATTTGGCAATTTACTTCCGTTTTTGTTCTATTTTCCTGTAGCAACCCGGGCCGGCCGTCTGATTGCGAGGGACAATTCGAGCATCTCGTACCGAAAGATTTGCAGATTGTTATAAATATAATTTTTATTGTTTTTTGTTTACGTAATGCCGAAACGAAAATGCAGTATAAATGATCATATTACAAGAGAATTTCCATTAGTAAAGGTGCGGATGGATTGGTTCAATTTACGTTAGGCATTTTACGTGGTGGTCGGTCAGACCTAGTCGATGGCGTAAAATCGAAAAAACGTATAAGTGCTATTTGAAGTCGGGTTTCCAGCAGCAGAATAAAGCTTAGTTCACACTGAGCGAATAGCGAAAGCGAATGTGAAAAGCGATTTTTATTTGCTTAGCGAAATTGACCCTACAACCAAAAGCGAAAAGCGATTGCGAATTTTAAGCAGCCAATTATTTACAAGCAAGTGAAAATGTCATCTCGAAAAACAAAATGGCCGCTTCTGATATTCCGTCGTTAACCACATTTGTTTATTTATTGAGAAAGAAAAATAAGTCAAAAGAAAACGATGTTGGGTGAGAGAAATATTAAAATCCGTAATTACAACATGTAATCTATTGCGTGAGAAAGTTTCTGTAGCCATCTTGGAAACAACAAGAACCACGTGACAACTAGCGGGAATACGATTGGTGCGAAATTTTTTCGCTAGCGAAAAAAGCTCGACAGTTCCGAACTTCGAAGCGATTCGCGAAATGATAAAATTTGCCGGAAGCGACGTCATGTCTGACGTGTTATTCGCTCTGTTTTTCGCTTTCGCTAGCGAATCGCATTCAGTGTGAACTAAGCTTAAGTCATTTCTTAAATGCGAAATGGAAAAACGGTTATAGAAGTTACATCTCCTTGGAAAGGTTATAGTTATATCGGCAGATAATACAAATACAAACTTCGGTGGAAAGAAGGAAAAGGAAAAAAATAATTTGTACGTCGAAATGCAAGAAAACACTATGAACAATTTAAATGGCATTGCTTGTCCCGCATGTGTGATAAGTAATGCTGCGCAGACTGCTGCAGGTCTATCTATATACTGTATCTTCAGTTAATAAGTAACAAGATCTACCAATACGAAGCTAAAATTAGCAAATGTTTGCCGGATATAATCGGTCACATTTACTATAAAAGCGAAGATCTACCGAAATTGCAGGAAGGAAGAAAAGTTTTCGATACTACTACGTCAGTATTAGAAAAAAAAGGAAGTGTAACAGTTGAAAATTTTCAAACTTATGCCATAGATTTCTATGATACTTATATGGAATATATTCAGGAGTGATGTACAGTACATTATTTCTCGTGCCTCTCCGGTCTATGGATTGGATCAGTTTCAAGAGAAAAGAGCTTATGGCTTAGAACAATATACAAGAAAGCTACATATTCTCGAAGAAAGTGTCATTAAATTTTACCGTGAATGAACAGGACTTACGAGTTAGCGTATTCGAAAAAATATTATGAAAGTAAATTTGAAGTATGGAGTAAAGTGAAGAATCAAAGTATCAGTGCAAAATTCTGTGAAATGTTGGCTCATTTTTCAAAGTAGGATAAATGCCGAGAACACGAAATACCTAGTTAGTTTTTGTTCGGCACTGCCGCCATCCGATGCAGCTGTCGAACTTGATTTTTTTATTAATAAATACGCCGCGGACAGACCAAAAAACACCGGACANAAGTGAAGAATCAAAGTATTAGTGGAAAATTCTGTGAAATGTTGGCTCATTTTTCAAAGTAGGATAAATGCCGAGAACACGAAATACCTAGTTAGGTTTTGTTTGGCACTGCCGCCATCCGATCCAGCTGTCGAACGCGATTTTTTATTAATAAATACGCCGCGGATGGACCAAAAAACACCCGACATAAAATTGAGACAGCGAAAGCTTTAATCATCATAAAGACCCATTTTAAGGATTTCTCTCGCGCCGAGATCTGTGTTCGAATATCAAAGGAAAAAACTTCTCGAACAGATCCATATCTGTTAAATATTTTGACGAATATAAAATATAAAACTTAACTATTATGAATTATCGGTTTGTTATTGTTAATGGCAGGTGAAGAAATTTTCCTTTATAATATTATTAGAATGTATCTCCGCCTAGCCTAAATGGTCGGCGAAGTCGAGAATTAAGGGACCGTCAGTTTCCAATTCGATATTTCGATGTGGACTTTTGCCGCGGGTCTGGCAAATTCCGGGACTCGCCGCGATGCAGAATTTCGCATCTATCCGATAATTATACCCGGGAGCGTAACTTTTAGTCAACGACCGGTCATTACATTTAATAAATAATAATAGAGAGGAAAATTTCACTCACCCGTTAATTGGTGGAAAATCGAAAGGATAACGAATACGAGAACGAAATCTGTGGATAAATATTGTATAAGAGACAAAATAAAAATTAAAACGGTTGAAAGTCGGGAATAAAAAGGGAAACATACTCATTTAATTAAAAGTGCTGCCCGCGATCGTAACCTTTCCTTTGTTGTGTTGTACCGGAGGAAGTTACTTCTGATCGATATCGCTACTATGAAATCCGCTTAACAGGAAATTCTATTTTTTGTTTGTGTGTGTGTGTTTTCCTTTTTTTGTAATTCGAAAATGTTTATATTTTCAATCCATTAAATTTTTATATTTCTGTATTTAGCAAGATTTCTAAATTCCTTTATAATTTTCCTTTCATTTCAGAAATAACACAATTAAACAAAAAAAAAAAAAAAAAAATTAACGGAGTAAATCCGACGAAACTCGAAATCTCGACACAAAACACGTAATTATATTTTCCGAATAAAATATTCAATTATTCCAAAAAATAAAATTACATTTCCTTGCGTAATTCTGCGATAAAATCTTTTCCGTTTACCAAAAACGTAACAAACTCGTGTAGGAAAAGTTTAAGCAGAAAACTTTTCTTTGTCAGTTTGGGCATTTCGTAATACAGTAGAGCATCGTTTATCCGAATCAATTGGGGACTGGGGTGGTTCGGATAACTTATTTTTCGGATAAAGAATCATGTACGAAAAAATATATTAATTTATCCCGTGTTGAAATTTTTCTCCGTTGCGCGTCGCTTCGCGTTGAATTTTCGTCGATGTTAAGCCTAACGAAGACTATTGTATCGTTAAAAATTATTTTTTAATTTTGTACAANAAAAAGAAAAACTTACTCATTTAATTAAAAGTGCTGCCCGCGATCGTATCCTTTCCTTTGTTCTGTTGTATCGGAGGAAGTTACTTCTGATCGATATCGTTACTCTGAAATCCGTTTAACAGGAAATTCTATTTTTTTTTCTTTTTTTGTGTTTTCCTTTCTTTTGTAATTCGAAAATGTTTATATTTTTAATCCATTAAATTTTTATATTTCTGTATTTAGCAGGATTTCTAAATTCCCTTATAATTTTTCTTTCATTTCAGAAATAACTCAATTGCGTCGAGGATAAATGTAGGACAATTTCAAACGAAATAACGTTGTTTAATATTTTCGTACTTAAAAAAAATTAACGGAGTAAATCCGACGAAACTGGAAATCTCGACACAAAACGCGTAATTATATTTTCCGAATGAAATATTCAATTATTCCAAAAAAT